GTGGGAAGTGCACGGTGGGCGATCGCTGGTCCAGTCAGCAGGGCAACAGAGCAGACTACCCAGAGGGTGACGGCAACTGGGCCAACTACAACACCTTTGGGACTGCAGAGGGGGCCACAAGTGATGACTACAAGGTAGGTACGCTCTGTAGTCACTTGGTAAAGTGTGAGGATGTGAGTGTAGCTCAAGGATGCCATGGAGAGGTGGGAAGGTTGTCCTTCAACACAGGGCTGAAGAAATGAAAAGTACTTACTTTGAAACCTTCCGAGTACACTTTTCGGTAAGGAAGTGGTGGTGGTGGGACCACTGCCATTGCAAATGAGGACATCTGAGAACGGCTGTCCCTCTGTCCACCCGCAGCCCGGAGATATCAGCTCTGCTGAGGACTGTGCAGGAGGGTATTTGCTTAGTGAAATCTCCTGGTCTGGTCAGGCTCAGTGTTGGTTGTTTTCCAGAACCCTGGCTACTTCAACATCCAAGCTGAGAACCTGGGGGTTTGGCATGTGCCCAACAATAGCCCCCTGCAAAATTGGAGGAAAAGCTCCCTGCTGAGGTACCACACCTACAGTGGCTTCCTGCAGAACATGAGTCATAATCTGTTTGGTCTGTACCAGGTACTCAAAACTGCTAACTGAGACTGCTTTTCATGGGTATGGAGAGAAAGGCAGTTGTTTGGGGTTCTGTGGGTTGTGTTCCATGTTTCCCTTATTCTAAGGAGCAATGAGCCAAGGAAGGCTAAGTGTAGGTGTGTGTGGAAAAGAGGAGAGAAGTCAGAAGGGGGAGTGAAGAGAAGATAAGAGGAGGAAGGGGTCTAGAGTTTCAGAGAGACAGAAACAGAAGAAAGGATTCCTTCTTATCTAAGTAGTTGGGAAACAATCTCAGATCCGTTTAATTCTCTGTAGATGGTAATGTTCCTGTGAGTGCCAATGCTGCCATCCTTACCTAGTGGATTCTTTTGTTCCTTGTAGAAGTACCCAGTGAAATATAATGGAGGGAAATGTTCTACTGATAATGGCCCAGCAATACCTGTGATCTATGACTTTGGTGATGCTCAGAAAACAGCCTCATATTACTCCCCCAATGGCCAAAGTGAGTCTCTAATGCTCCTGAATCCTCTGCAGGACACGTGATAAACTCTGTTGTGATAAATAACAGTCATTTACCATCCACCACAGCCTGCTTCTCTTCTGTGAGAGTTTGTGTTTTGTTTCATGCAGTTGATTGCCCTTGGCCTCTCAACTATTACTAACCCATTTTACAGATTAGGAGACTGGAACACTGAAGTCTGTGAACTTGCCTGAGATCACAGGGAATAAGCAGAAGAGTTGGCATTTGCATTGGGGAAGCATGGTTCCAGAATCTGCTTTTAGCAACTCTATTATCAGTCAGAGGTTTCTTAGGAACAGACCAGGTCCATGTGCACAGGGCTGAACAACAGGAAAAAAAATAGTGTTATATTTCTGCTTTGAGGGGTGACTGACATGTTGTTTGATGTAAATACAAGTAAGACACATGCCCTTTATAAATGTTAATCCTGACCTGTATAATTCAAAGCTCTTCTTATTTATTCTTAGAATGTAAGGCTTTAAAGAAAAGTTAGCACTGTCAATGTGAATAGGACCAAAGTGAATGCACTTGCCAACTGCTGTGACAAACCCCAGGAGATATTCAGTAGAGACCTTGCTGTATCAGAAATTTCTCCATTCAAGCTCTGGCAGATGGGGAGCCTTTTAACAACTGGCTCTTGTGGTCTGTGAATAGGAGTAGGTGAGGCTCCCCTAACGGATCTGATATTTTAAGCTGTATATCGTGAACCTAGCACCACCAAACCCTGGTCTCACAGCTATTTCTAGAATTTTCCTTGAATGATGTTTCCTGTCTTTTGTTTTCAGATGAATTCACAGCAGGATACATCCAATTCAGAGTGTTTAATAATGAGGGAGCAGCCAACGCCTTGTGTGCTGGAATGAAGGTCACTGGATGTAACACTGAGTTTGTGAGTCTGTGTAGTGACCAAAGAAGTCCGTGAATAAGACTTAAGTTGCCTGAGTGTATCTGTGAATACTGAGTATGGGAGACTGCCATGTTAGTGTGCGCACCTTTATGAACATGTGACATTTTCCTGTGCCATACTTGGTCTCAGGGACTAGAGCTTCTATCTAGATACAGATATTCTGTCTTGTTGAAAACCAGAGTCGACATTATAGACTTCTAATGAACTATGACTGTCTGCTTAGCCTTTAGGATAAAACGCTCATTACCTCGAGTCAGGATGACACTTGCAATCAGGAAGTCCTGTGGGAGCCTTTGGGGGCTGAGATTGCTAGGGAGTCACTCCCCATCCAGGATTTAGCTTTTAGAGTAAAACACATCCTATCTAGTCCTTTCCAGTGTTTGTACAGATTTTCAGTGTTAAGTAGTGACTAGGAGAGTCCTGGATATCTGGTAAACCTCACCCAGGCCATTCTCCTCCCTATTACAAGGAATTTCTCTTGTTGGATGTTGGTATATCAACTAAGTGCCAAGGCAGGTGCACTAAATTCCACTGCAGCAATATGATGCCCCCCGAAGCATGTGATCATTAGATTCATACTGTTTTATTTTCTTTCTAATAATTTGTGACAAAGGCACACTGGCCATAGGGAAAGCTGTAACGAGTTAGAATGTTCTGGCCAATCATGGTGATACACATCTTTAATTCCAGCACTCAGGTGGTAGAGACAAGCAGATCTCTGTGAGTTTGGGGCCATCCTGTTCTACATAGTGAGTTCCAGGCCAATAAGACCTACATAGTAAGATCCCATCTAAAAAAAAAAAAAATAGCATGTTCTTTTGGGATCCAGACCTCCTCAAAGTAACAATCTGAGAAAAGGGTTGTCAGCTCCTGGCAGGTGATCCTGAAGATCTCAGTGTCCATTCATTCCTCGGTCGTTAGCGTGTCCTTCACCTGGTCAAGATGAGGCAGCTTCTGGTCAAGGTGGACCTTGGGACTGTGGTGTGCAGTGATGAAATAGGGAGAGCATGTGGTGTTGAGAGAGTAGCAAGCTGCTTCTATTTTGGTATGTAACACGAATATGGGATACTGGAAGAACTCATTTTTGAAATGTCCAATGTTAATGAAAAGATCAAGAAACAACTTTTACATCACACCAGTGGTTTTTGGATTGTACAAGGGATGAGCACATAAGATAGACTTGAGCATTCTTATTTTCCTTTTTAAACAAACTTTTTTTATTTTACATACCAATCCCAGTTTCCTCTCCCTCCCCACTTCCTGGTCCCTGCCACCTTCCTCTCTCCCCATCCCCCACCCACTCCTCAGAGAATTCTTTTTTTTTTTTCCAGAAATGACACTGTGGCCTAGTGATGACAGATTCTCTTGGGGGAAAATCTAAGCACAAGGAAATAAGCATTAGGATGGCTTCCATGGTCCAAATGAGAGTCTGGTGAAGTGTGATGGAAATTTGGAGCAAGGGTGGTCACTAATAAGTTCCAATGATTTTAAATTTATTAATAATTTAACACAGAGAATGTGAGGAAAAGTCATTTTGAATAATTCCATCGTTTGCATATGAGTAGGTTAACATCATATAGTAAGCCAAGATGTCTGGATGCTGAATATGTTTATGATATGTTTATGAATATGTTTATGATCAAGTAGGGATATATAGTCATATGATGCTAGATTTCTAGAACACTTATTTTATACAAATATGAGTTTTATGAGTTTATACAAAACTCATTTGTATGCACGTACATGTGTATTCAACTGATCACAGAGTTCAACAGGACACAGTAGATTCCTGGAAACTGAAGATAAAGTCTTTTGATTGTGTGCTGGGATCTGATAAGGAAGCTGGGATCTTAAATTTCATTCTCTGATAGTGTCATAAGATGTTTAAACCCTGGGGCCATCTCACCAGCCCCTATGTTACTAGCTTGTTTGGGTGAGATTTTTTTGCCTTGTTTCGGATATTTTTATATTATATGTTTGAACGTTCTACCTGCACATATGTATGCATGTGTATTACTTGAGTTTCTGGTGTCCTTGAGCCAGAAGAGGGCATTCTATACCCTGGAATTGGAGTTACAGTGGAATTGGAGTTACATATTGTCAGCCCCATATGAGTTCTGGGACCCAAATCTGGTCAAATGCAACAGGAGCAAGTGCTCTTAAACACAGAACTGTCTCTCCAGTCCCAATGTTACATGCGTTGATCATTGATGAACTTTGAATGTGATAGCGATCCCACAAGATTTGAATTGTCTACAAGCATCATAGTCATTCTAGCTTGTGTAAGCACAGCCTATGATGCTCACAATGACAAAACTTTCAAAGAATTTCCCAACAAAAATCCCCATTTTAAGTGATGTGTGGTTGTAAGTAGCTGTGCTTTGTTTGTTTGTTTGTTGCCATGTGGAATGTGAAGATCCCGAGTAGTGATTCTAATTGGCAGTCCAATCTTAAAATCTTAAACTTAAGAAACATCTGGATTGGCGAAAAGGATTTAAAACCTTCAGTGAATTGTTCATAACAAAAGCTAAAGGGAATAACACAAAGTATAAGACTGTTGTAAATGTGTCCCTCTGAGAAGTAACACTTAAGGAATCCATGAAGGAAAAGTCTAGCCAGAGAACCTGAGAACAAAGGTTCAGAGAAGTTGAAGGAAAGGTAGAAAGAGATAATGATGCCACTAAAACCAAAGGAAGGAGGGGTTATGGTTCAAATAGATCAATACTGCCAAAAGAGAGTCTGATGAGGGACAAGGAGTCACACTGAACTTGGCTGAGATGTCTCTGGGCTCATTAGCTGTATTAGCCAGTTTTTAGCCCTGTGATAAATACCAGAGAGAAGCAATATATGGAAAGAAGTGTGCTGTCTAGACCTATGACAGCATGATGCAAGCTGTAGTCATCTGAGATAAGGGAACCGCAATTAAGAAAATGCCTCCATAAGATCAGGCTGTAAGGCAAGCCTGTAGAGCATGTGCTTAATTGCCAATTAAAGAAGGAGTCCCAGCCCATTTTGGGTGGTGCCAATCTTAGGCTGGTGGCCCTAAGTTCTGTAAGAAAACAGAAGAGCAAGCCTTGAGGAGCAAGCCATAAAACTACACTTATCCGTGGCCTCAGCTTGAGTTTCTGCCACCAGGAACCCCACTGAGTTTCTTCAATGATGAACAGTGATGTGAAAGGATGAGTCAAATAAACTCTTTTCTCTCCAAGTTGCTTTGGTCATGATGTTTTATCACAGTAATAGTAACCCTGACTAAGACAAAAGGCTTCATTATCTTGACGGTTTTGAGATTTTAACCTGTGGTCATTTGGCTCTATTGCTTTTAAATCGATAGTGGGGTAGAAATATCATGCAAGAAAGTCTTATCAGAGCAAGATGGATCACTTCATATTGGCAAGGAGTCAGGAAAGGCCAAAGCAAGATACTCTTCAAAGCATGCCACTCACTCCTTCAGTGTGACCCCACCCCATCCCCAGCTTCACCACCTTCAAATAGTCAGTTCAAAACAGTGACTCCATTAGTCATTAACTAAATGATGAAGGCAGGGTCCTCATATTTAGTCCCTTCCCTAATGTTCTGCCTTTGAGTGTTACTTATCTTGTGAATCAGGTCTTCAGTATCTAACATTTTTCGATAGGGAACTTTATATCCGAACTGTAACACCTCTCATTGCTACTTTCTCTCCCTGTTTTCCAGCACTGCATTGGTGGAGGAGGATACTTCCCAGAAGGGAACCCCATGCAGTGTGGTGACTTCTCTGCATTTGATTGGAATGGATACGGAACTCACAGTGGGTACAGCAGTAGCCGGGAGATAACTGAAGCAGCCGTGCTTCTGTTCTACCGTTGAGAACTTTGTGGAGTGGGACCCAGACTTCTCCAGTCTGTGGACTCACATGCACAGAAAAAATATTGCCTAGTAGCTAGAATGCTAATGACATGGGAAAGGAGAATAAATCATGTCTATTGCATGCTTGGGTGTCATTGTGAATTCTTTTGTTCAGAGATAAGAGATTTCTAAAGGGTTTCTGCTGCCCTGTTTGATTCTTTTGGATTATTAGGACTGGGAATCCTGATACAGCAACACCCTTTTTAAAAATGTATTCTTCTCTCATATATTACATCCTGACAGCCTCCCCTCCCTCCTCTCCTCTCAGTCCCTCCCTTATCCAGCTCTCCCCTACATCCTATCCTACTCCATTTCTATTCAGAAACGGGCAGTCTTCCCAGGACACAGTCCCCTCATATTAAGACTGGACAAGGGAACCCAGTAGCAGGAAAATGTTGTGGGATATTCCTTTACACTGTGTGAAGATATGTTACCATGAGTGGTTTAATAACAAACTAAATGACCAATAACTACGCAGGAGGTGTAGCAGGGACTTCTGGACAGAGAGAGTGCTGGGAAGAAGTAAGGCAGAGTCTCCAGATGAACACAGAAGAAGTCAGACGTGAAGGAGGAGAGGTAAAAACCATGAGCCATGGGATAGCCCATAGATTAGTACAAATGGGTTCATTTAAGTTATAAAAGCTAGTTAGGGACAAGCGTAAGCTAAGGCTAAGGTTTAATCATTAATAGTAAGTCTTTCTGTCATTTTTTGTAATGTGGCAGCACAAAGAAAAATCTGTTCATATAATGGCATCTAGCATGGGGTCACATATTTCCACATAAGAAGTGGCAAAGCTGTAAAAGAGTTTCCAAACACACACAAAGAAAGCCAAACACAGTTCCACCATCTCCCATTTGGGCTGCATTACAGAGATGTGTGTCCCCGCAGCTGCTTACGGGCCTGAGCCTCAAGTACACCATGAGATGTGCAGTGGGTTTAAGGTTTGACTCACTTAGGCAGAGAATGATACAGGTACCTTGTAAAGCAAAGTCCAGAGAATAAAAGATGGTATAGGCAGTCATATAAAAAATAAATAGTTTAAAAATAATAAAAATAAAGTCTTTAAAGAAAAAAAACAAAGTTAAAAATAAGCCTTGTAAGAATGGGAAATATTATAATTATAAAAGTGACCCCAAAATTCTACCAAGAAACTGCTACAGCTCACAAACGCCTTCAGTATTATGAAAGGAAACAAGATCAACTCAAAAAAAAATTGGTAGCCCTCCTATACACAAATGATAAAAGGGCTGAGAAAGAAATCAGAGAAATATCACCCTTCACAATAGTCACAAACAACATAAAATATCTTGAGGTATTGCTTGCCAAAGAAGTGAAAGACCTGTACAAAAAAAAAAAAACTTTTCTTTGAGGAAAAAAATGAAAAAGATATCAGAAAATGGAAAGATCTCCCATGTTCTTGGATAGGTAGGATCAATATAATAAAAATGACAATCTTTCCAAAAGCAATCTACAGATTCATTGCGATCCCCATCAAAATCCCAGCACAATTCTTCATAGACCTTGAAAGAACAATACACAACGTCATATGAAAAAACTAAAACCACAGGATAGCCAAAACAATCCTCTACAATAAAGGAGCTTCTGGAGGCATCACAATCCCTGACTTTAAGTTTTATTACAGAGCTATAGTAATGAAAACAGGCTGGTATTGGCATAAAAACAGACAGATTGACCAGTTGAATTGATGACCCTGATATAAATCCACATGCTTATGCACAACTGATTTTTGTCAAAGAAGCTAAAGTTATACAATAGAAAAAAGAAAGCATTTTCTATAAATAGTGCTGGCATAAAAGGATGTCAACACGTAGAAAAAAGCAAATAGACCACACCTATCCCCTTGCACAAAACTCAAGTCCAAATGGATCTGATACATCAACATAACACCAACCACACTGAACCTCATAGAAGAGAAAGTGGGAAGTAGCCTTGAATGCATGGGCACAGAGCCAACTCCCTGCATATGAACCCAGTAGCACAGACACTGAGCACAACAATTAATAAATAGGACCTCCTAAAACTGAGACGCTTCTGTAAGGAAAAGGACACAATCAATATGACAAAATAGCAGACTACAGAATAGGAAAAGATCTACACGAACCCCACACTACACGGAGGACTGATCTCCAAAATATATAAAGAACTCAAGAAACAGGATATTAAAATATCAAATGACTGAAAAATGGGGTACAGATCTAAACAGTGAATTCTCAACAGAAGAATCTCAAATGGCCAAAACATAATTAAGGAATTATTGAGCATCTTTAGCCGTCAGGAGAATGCAAATCAAAACGACTCTGAGATGCCATCTTACACCAGTCAGAATGACTAAGATAAAAAACACCAATGACAGCTTATGCTAGAGAGAATGCGGAGTAAGGGAAACACTCCTTCATTACTGGTGGGATGCAAACTTGTACAGTCACTTTGGAAATCAGTATGGTTTCTCAGAAAATTGGGAATCAATTCATGTCAAGACCCAGCAATACCACTTTAGGCAAATATCCAAAGGATGCACACTCATATCACCAGGACATTTGCTCAACCATGTCCATAGTAGCATTATTATTCATAATAGTCAGAACCTGGAAACAATGCCCCTCAACCAAAGAATGGATAAAGAAATTGTGGTCCATTTACACCATGGAGTACTACTCAGTGGTTAAAAAAACAATGACATCTTGAAATTTGCATGCAAGTGGATGGAACTAGAAAAAAAAAGTATCCTGAGTGAGGTAACACAGACCTAGAAAGACAACCATGGCATGTACTCACTCTTAAGTGGTTATTAGATGTAAAGCAAAGGATAGAAGCTGGGTTACAAGAAGAACCCTAAGAGAGATATACATGGATTTCCTCTGGTAAGGGGAAATAGACAAGTTCTCCTGAGAAAATTAGGATCATTAAGGGAGGGGAGGGAAGAAGGGGAACAGGAGGAAAGGAGAGGGAGGAGGAGAACATGAGAGAGTGGGACGGTTGAGATGAGGGAAGGACAGAGGAGAAGAGCCAGGAAAGTGATATCTTGATTGTGGGAGCCATTATGGGGCCATCATGAAAACTGGCACCAGGGAATTTCCCAGGAATCCACAGGGATGACCCCAGCTAAGAACCTAAGCAATAGTGGAGAGGGTGCTTGAACTGACCTTCCCCTGTAATCAGATTGATGACTACCTTAGCTGTTATCATAAAACCTTCATTCAGCAGCTGATGGAAGCAGATGCCGAGATCCACAGCTAAGCACTGGGCCAAGCTCCCAGAGACCATCCCAAGAGAGGGAGGAGCAATGAGCAATGGGATCAAGACCATGATGGCAATACCCACAGAAACAGCTGACCTGAGCTAGTGTGAGCTTACTGACTAGACTGACAGTGGGGGCAGTATTGCAGCAATGCAAGAGTGCAGCCCCAGGGTCCTGTCCTGACCTAAGCCTGGCTGAAGGCTCACACGTTGTGGGTCCTCTTGGTGAGCTGGGACTCCTCATCTATCAGCTTGGAATTGAGGTGTTCCTTGTAGGCCAGGTTGTCTCCAGGACACTTAGTGATTATCTGCTTCTCACAGACACAAATTTCCTGTGCATCCTACTGGATGAGTCTGAAGTCGTGGCTGACTAACATCTTACCACCTTCAAACTCATTGGTAGCATCTGCCAGTGCATCAATGGTCTTGATGTCCAGGTGATTGGTAGGCTCGTCCAGAAAGAGCATGTGAGGGTTCTGCCAGGGCAGCCAGGCCAGACACGCTCAGCACTTCTGCCCATCCGAAAGGTTCCAGATTGGGCTCAGCTGCTGTTTCCCAGTGACGCCATATCTCCTAATGATCTTCCTCATCTCCTCCTTCTCCTTGATTTCTGGGTAGCACTTCATCATATACTCCAATGGTGAAAGGTCCAGGTCCAGCTGCTCCTATAAGTGCTGATGGTAACATCCTGTCTTGACATGAGAATGCTTCCGGATCATTCCATATGTGGGTAGACATGAGACTGTTTCCGGGTAATTTCATCTGTGGGTAGAAGCTCTCCGGTTATCAGCTTCAAAAGAGTGGACTTCCCTGCACCGTTGGGTCCTACCAAGGCCACCCGTGTGTCAGGGTCAGTGCCAAACTCTAGATTATTGCAGATGCAAGGCCCATCTTTTGTATACTTGAAGCTCATGTTCTGCACCATAATGATGGTGAAAATAAAAGAACAGCGTCTTGTCACTCACCACTTTTTCAGTCAGTCCTGATGCCATCATTTTCTGTACTGTTTTCTCTTTGCTTTGAGCCTTCCAGGACAGCTTAGTACTGCCGTGGTCAAGCTTGGCAATGTAGCTCTTCATGTGTGCAATCTGGTCATGCTCCCAGTGAAACCTCTTCATCTGGTTCTCCTCCGGCTCCAGCCGTGTCTTCACATACTGATCATAATTACCCATGTGATACATCAGTTTCTTGTTGTGCATGTGGATGATATTGGTACAGTCCCCATTCAAAAAGCCCTGGGAATGGAACACAAGGACCAGGATGGGCTTGGAGGTCTTAAGTTCCTCCTCCAGACACACACAAGCATCCAGGCTCTTCCACAAGGAGCATGAAGGACCGAATAAAGAGGGCTCTGGCGAGAGCAAGCCACTCTCATTCGCCAGCCACAACTCAAGTCTTTCAGCTTCTTGCATTGCATGGCAGGTGTAAAACCTAATCCATGTAAGACCCTTGAGGTCCTCATCTCAGCTTGGTCGGCATTCAGCTCTTCCTGTCACTCATAGAGTTCCATGAGCTTCTCACACTCCGCAAATTCATGAGCTAAGCGCTCAGCCTCCCTCTCCAGAATGACCCACTCTGTGTCCACCTT